ACGACTATAAAATTATAAATATTTCGTTTTAATTTATGCCAAGAATACAACAATTTATTTAATGTTTAACAAGATACTTATGACTGATAGTAGATTTTCTTTAAACATAAAAATTCGCTTACCTTTATTACATCGTATAAATAAAAAACAGCGTATCAAACGAACAAAAATTTATCGAAATTTTACATCACCATGTGCTCCACAGAACACTTTTCAAATCAATCAAGTATTTAAATAAAACGTAATAAATAGTTTACTTATTTTTCACAAATCGAAAAGGAAATACATTATCCAGAGCTTTGGGGATCTTACACGTTAACTAGACTCGCAATTATGCATAATGGACGATAGAGCGTGATTACTAAGCCGACTCTATACATAACGAACGATGCGAACAAGCACGAACCACATGAACGAACAACCACATAAACAGTAATACAAATGATCTCGATGTGTATCAATAAATACGATCTATCGGTTATCTATAACCTCATACCACCGAATCCCTCGTTACACTGACCTAACAGGTGTCAACACAAGCCTTACGTGAAGTTCAACGCGATGCGCAGAAGTCGAGAAAAAGTGTTTTGCGCATCAGTGAGCTTCACACGAAACCTTGTCAGCTGTCACGCAGTCATGCGTTTATTTAATGTGAAACACGATTCGCTAATATTATTCACACGTTAAAGGAAAATATTCGTTAGTGTTTGTGTAATGTAAATGAAACGGTTAAATATTCGGTTTCCACAGTCCTTCGCTTAGTAACGACGAATTCAAGTGTAAGAAATATAAACAAAATAAAGGCGCATCGAAACTTGACTGTTTATATTTGTTCGTGTTTACTCGGTTTCGTGTTCATTCCCAGTCGTTCGTATTCCGTCGCGTCAGTAAACGTTCGTTCGTTAAGCGTAGACCCGGCTTTAGGAGCTACGAGGATAGGAGCTACAAACTTGCTGATTCTCACGCGTTCAATGTTCCTTCGTCGGCCATATTGAAGATTACTTCCGTTGCACGAAGGTATGTAGTTTTCAAAATAAGAAGTTTGATCAAATAATACTAAGAATTTCGTTCCTTACTCGTTTCATTGACGATGAAATATAATAGAGATGTAGCTGTATTATTATTTATTATCTAAAAATTAACGACGATTTTAGACGCTTTAGATTGTGAATGAGAATATAGTTAATATGCGAAGTAATTATTTGAAAACTAGGAAGACTATGAATCCATTTATCGAAATTGAATTTTATTTCGTTGAATTCCTATTATTTCAATTGTTATCGAGCATCGCTTGACTTATATGAAAATTTATTAATTTATATGCGTATTTAATACTAGTTAATAAAAATAAATTTTTAAAAATGAGTTCAAGTAAAAAATATAAAAGATTTATAAAATATCTGTAACTTTCTACTGACTAGTCGTAAACTGAAACTGTTGCAATTGTCGCCAATTAGGTTAATAGCGAGAATCAAAGCAAGGTGCTCTAATTGAAGACATTATACGAGACCACAGTGCGCAGCATTGTAGATACGTATATGCGCGGCATGCGCCGGTTATCTTTTGTTTTTTTCTACAGACGCGTTAAAAGCTTAAATTTTATTTGATGGAATTATCCATTTTGATATATTTACAGGAAAAAATTTATTTATTCAAACAGGAACTATGATTGTTTATATTATTCTTATAGTATGGAATTATTTTATTTGACTTTTACTATATGTATATCAGTGGCAAAAATCAGAAAAGTGAAATAGCTTTATAACCATGCTCGATAAATTAAATTAAAATAAAGAACTATGCAAATTCTTGCATTAAAATTAATCATTGAACGCAGAAAAGTGCAAATGAAAAATAAAGAAACGTAACAAAAATTATATATTAAATATATATATTCGAGAAAAAATTGGTAGAAACCAAATATTTTAAGTATCATAGGTACTTTTACAAGTATTTTATTGGTTCTAGAATCTCTTTTATAGCAAAATAAAGAAAATAAATATAGACGATTTATATTGTTTTATAATTATTGATGAAGAAGCATAATTCAATTCCGGATAATTAAATTAATTAATTAATTTCATACACAATTTAATAATATCCTGAAATTAATTTGAATTAAATTCCTAGTATTTTTTGATCAGCCTTCATGTAATACACTCAGCTAGCCCTAGGGAATTTTTTATTTCGAATATCATTTTTGACTTAGTGCTTACAATTACTTGCAAGTACTTGCAATTAACACGCTTAATTATCGTTATTTATCGATTATCTTCATGTATCGTCAGGTATAATATTTCTTCGTACTCGAGCACTTTTCTAGGGTTTTTAATAATTTCACTCGAGTACTCGTAATTACTTTGTGTCCTTAACGTTGGTACACTTTCCAGTGCGTTTCTTTAAATACGTTTTCTAAATAGTATTTCGTGTTACGTTAGAACACGTTTCTTCTTTTATTCTTTAAATATTATTTCGTGTTTTTGCAGAACACTTTATTGTACGTTTGAACCTGCTACTTCAATAATATCTTTTTTCTTTTTTTTTTTTTTTTAAGAATTTTTAATGACTTCGAGAACTTCGTAAGTCAGTGTTCTGTTCTTTTTTCTTCTCTAGTAAATCTCGTATTTCTTGCGTCTATGTAGGTTTCTTCGTTGTAAAACGAATATAAAATGTTACAATGATACACAGGCAAAATGTCCATGTCGTTGCTTATTAAATGCAAATACGTTGTTAAACGTTAAATATATTATTATGCTCGATTTATTGTTATCTATGAGGTGTTCCAAAATTATTCGTCAAATTATGCAATTTTTTAAATAAATATCGCGATTAACTTGCAACTGTATTAATCAACTTTGCGTATTTTATGTATTATTGGTTATTGAGCTTTCTTATATAGTAAAATGAAACTCAAAAGTCTAATAAAATATTTCAGTAATAATAATTTGTTAACAAATTAAATAAATTAACAAAGTAAATCATTTTACAAAATTTGTATTTTAATTGTAGAGCAAAAATTTTCTTTTATAATTTCCAAAAATTTGAATTCGCATAGAATACAAAAATATTCTAAATCAATAATTAAATTTGTCGAAAATAATAAAATAATAAACAGAGTCTAAGGAATTGACAAATAATTATTTTTACAAATTTCTATGCCTCTTTTTATTTTTAAATTCTTTCTTACCTCGGTTATTTTTCGAATAAAATAATGTTATTCGATTCGACCTAAGTGATCGCCATTTTTATTGTGCAATGCACGACGGAAGCAGTGTTAGCAAACCATGAAAAAGAAACTATGATATAGCTAACTTTCTCCATGGTATTTAATTTTTAAATTCGTTATTTAATTTGCTGAATAATTTTTGAACACCATATCTTGTTCCTTCGCATTATCACTAATCAATTTTATCATCTTCGTTAAATTACGTTTAGTATTGTTATGTTCACTTCCGTTATCTGTTCATACATTTTTCACTTCAAAAAAAATCTTCAAGTTCCATCGAAAAGGAAAAGAGAAGACTTATTATTAGCACTCTAATAAAATTAATTATTGACATAAACATTAATCTTTATACATTTAAATGTGTTAAATGCATATCACATTTATAGAAATCCTTTTAATACATTAGTAGACATCGAAAAGTTATTACGTGAAACATCTTAACTGCAGAATTACGTGCAATTATATTTATAATTCAAGATTTTTAAACCTCATTTGGAAACAATAAAAATAATTTTTCGAATCACTTTTATACAATTTCTTTTTCAAATATCAAAATGATTATTTGAAAATTCAACATAAATTTGTAAATACAAAATTCGAATGGAATTTGGAATATTTTTTAAGTCTGAAAATCTAAACAAAAGTATTTCACACTAATTAAATTGTATCAAATTGTTTAATAATACAATTTCACCGAATTTAAAGTAAATTTAATTTATATTCAATTGATATGAAAAATAAATATGGAAATAAATTTCAAAATTTTTTCTTTTATTTTTCATCGCGTAGATAAATTACCTCACCAATAGAAATTTTTAACTAACCACGACTTTAATTAGAAAAATGTTAATTCAGAAATTGTTAAATAACGACCAGTAATCGTAAGAAGTTATAAATTTATAACTTTCAATATCTTCACATATTTTCTCAGAAAGTAATACCTTTACTGTGCCTATTCACTTAGTTTACCTATTGATTCTAATTAACCAGTCACGCATTTGAATATTAATGATCCACTACGAGAATTTAAATGAGTTAAATAGATGAAGACTTTTTAAAAATATTTTACTAGATGCACATAAACGTTTGGTTTCAATAAAGTACCTTATTAGCCTGATCACTATGATAATTTTTCCACCATGAAACACTATTGAATTGAAAAACACGATAATACGATTTTCACAATCCCATTAGATTCCATTGACGTAAATATCAATTTTCACGTAGATAGCACTCGAATCACTCTTACTCACTTCCTCGATTTCAGACTTAAAATCATTCCACGCAAAAGATTCCACAGAATAATTCCCAGAAATCATGTTCGAATATCTCACTTCACTTTAAAATAATATAATAAAATAATAAAATAATACTTCCAAGAAATCTGATTTAAAAATCTTTGAAATTTTCCGAAAAGAGTAACACAAATCAGTAAAAATTGCAAATCAAGAATAATATCCTTCTTGGGATACCTCTTCGAGTGACTGATCCAATCGTTGAAAAAGAAATGCCTGCAGCCAGGATGTTCCCTTCAGTATCGCCTTTATCCCAAACGAAACCTCTTAAAAATTCCACTCCACGTGTTTACATCACCTTCTCCTCTTCCACACAACCCTGCCAAAAGACAGAAACGAGAAGAACGCACGAACAGGACGAACGATTCGATAGGCATTGTCACCAGAATCATCCACTAGCGTCCCCAAACGCCGATCGTCGCGCCTCTAGCTCCCCGTTCGTCGAATCGTCCACTAGACAATATTCCCATCTAGTAAATTCAAGTGGCGGTCTCGTAGGGAACCTTGGTCGCGGACAGGCCGAACGAGAATCCGGCATAAAGTGGCCTAGGTACCAGAAGGTGGCCAGAAGACCTCTTCTCATCTTCCGAGTTACTCGAAATCTGTTCGTCGTCCGGTGCAATAATATTCTCAATGGTAAACGGTTTCTTCTTCTTCTTCTGCTCCGGCTGGATGCTCGTCTGGCTGGAAATGCCAGCCTCCAGTACCGGACAGCGAATTTTACCGTCAACTGGCTCGACGGTGGCGCCTCTCGCGGTCTCCAGAAAAACCCTAGAGTCAGTCTTTTCGGGGACACTGGTCTCTGCGCCTCCAGCGCAGATCTGTCTGCTTTCCGGCATGTCTGTCTGGAAGTAGGACAACTGGGACACGTATGGGGACACCTGGAAGCCAGGGAAGCTCCAGCTCCCTGTCTGCAGGAGGTTGTTCTCGTAACCGCGGAGAATCTCGTCGGTTCCCGCGAGTCTCTGTCGGACCTCTGGCGACAGAAGGTAGTAACTAGAGCCAGCGTCCGACGTGGTGAAGCCTGGCGAGCTGTTCCCGCCGGAAGTCATTGTCAGACGACGTTCTTGCAGCTCCCAACGGAGCAAATCGTCGCGCAGACGGTGGAGATTGGCAACGGTGAGGCTGCTCGTCTGTGCATTGGGATTTATCGATAAGACGGGCGAGGATTCGGAGTGGGGAGGTGGCATGGCGGACGCCAGGGCCTGAAGTTCCGACTTCAGCAATTCTTTGTCGGGCTTGTGCAGCTTGAAGCGCTTCCTGCGTCGAAGCAGCGAGCCGTTCTCGAACATGGACAAGGCTGCCGGGTGCAGAGCCCAGTAGGCACCTTTGCCCGGTCGATGGGGCCCCCGTGGCACCTGGAAAGAAGAATTTTTCGGGGTACAGAGAATTGTTTCAACGAGGTTCGTGCATTTCTTGCATCTTTTATTTTCCTTTCTTTCTTTATTTTTCGAGAGATGAGAGACTTTTGAATTTAATATTGTGTAGTGACTGAAAGGTGAAAGGTCTATCTTTTCTAACGGATATCTTTTTTCGTAATATATGCCCAGTTAGTTTTATTTACTTTTTTATCTTTTTTTTTTTGGAATATTAGAAAAGCATATATTAGTATCATTTTTAAAAGAAAGGTGTTTTGTAGAAGTTTAGAGATCTCAGCATCTCAGAACATGTTTGTTGATGTGTGGTTAAGAATTATTTAAAGTCGTACAAAATTTTTAACTGATAAAGTTGATAAGATTGATAACGGAAGAAAAGGAGAAAGTAGAAATATTTAGAAAGCTGCAGTGAACAAATTTTCTAGATAATTAAGTCTTTTTGCAGTTTGTTGGGTTCTTAGAATTATTTATTTAGTGTCTTCAGTACTAGTTAAAAATATGAATGAATTATACATGAAAAATATAACTCGAATAATAAAGGCGAAGACATTTAAAAACTTCTTAAATAAATTTTTAAAAAGTTACAAAATTTCAGTTTTAGTTATAGTAAATATTAAAAGAATCCATTAATAATTGTTTCTTATGTTTGTTATTATTCTTATATTCACAATCTCATGATCAAAAATCTGAATTTGTGATTAAATTTAAATTCAAGCTTCCTATTTCATACATTCTTCATTTTTAAAAGGATATTACATAAAAGTTATAATATCTAACGCGTAACTGTTAACTTATTACTTTCCAGTAAATATTAGAAATAATTTTACAAACATTTTTTCTTCAATTTTAAATCGTTATTTCGTACAAATATAAAATTCTGTAGGATTAATCATTTCCTTCATAATACTCTGCGAAGCTAATTCAGAACAGGGATACATGTAATCAATAATATAGATGATATAAAACAATATTAAACTTAAATTCTAACATATTTAATTCTCTATAACAGAAGTATTCTCTATATACAAAAGAAAAAGAAGAGAAAATACGGTTATTTCTAATTTTTCATTTTACTCGAACAAGTAAATGGATAATAATCTAATAAAATGATAAAATAAGGAAATACTGTCAAAATAAAATATCACACTATCAGAGGTACAAAATAATTTTCAAAACATGTAAACAAATAGGTCCTTAATGTTCAAATCAAACGATATTGTACAGCCCAAACAATGCGTAATTATGATCCATTCTCGACTTCTAACCCTTTCACGAGCAGTTCTGAAAAGGGAACCTTAGGCATTATTACAAATCGCTAAGAACTCTCTCACGTCCCTAGAATATCCAATTATGCCTAAACAACGCGATAGACAACGAATTATTATTCAACTTCCTTACTAAAGAATTCATTTATTAAAACCTACCGGCTCGATGGAACTCTATCGAATTTGCTTATCCGTTAGCCAATCTCGTCGACAAGCCGGTTAACACGTTGAGCGCGGCATCGGTCCCTGGGGACCGACAGTGGACTTTTCGTTTGGACAGCATGGGTCCGTGGGACCGACAAAATCGAAGTTAAAAAATAAATGTAGTAATTTTAATGATATTTATTGAAATATGGTTTGATTTTGCATGTATTACAAAACGTGACGACTTTTTTAGTCAAATTTCTGGCTGTCTTGCGTCCGAATAGCGTTGAATTTTTGTCGTGACATCGGAAAGTTTTGGAATTAAATGGCATTGAATTTTATCTATATTACTCTAATACTTTATTACTAACAATTTGGTTCTCATTGTACAAACACTCTATCAGATATCTCAGATAAGATTAAACAGATAAATATAATGTACTTTCTTTAATCCGTTTACGTCTTAGAGGTTTAGGTTAGGTTAGGTTAAGTTGTTTCAGATGTCTCGGATAAGAGTAAACAGATAAACATGACGTATACATATCAAATTTTCGATTTTTAAATCTGCATTACTGAAAAATCAGGATAAATTGAAGCCCCTTATAAGATTTTAGCTTCTTCCTTAAGATTTGATCGAAACTATCAATGTTTAACTCTGTAAATATTGAAATTTTTGTGATGAACTCCAAGTCTAGTAAACGAAAGTATTATTCCTGCTAAAGTTGTCTCAGATATCTCAGATAAGATTAAACAGATAAATATAATGTACTTTCTTTAATCCGTTTACGTCTTAGAGGTTTAGGTTAGGTTAGGTTAAGTTGTTTCAGATGTCTCGGATAAGAGTAAACAGATAAACATGACGTATACATATCAAATTTTCGATTTTTAAATCTGCATTACTGAAAAATCAGGATAAATTGAAGCCCCTTATAAGATTTTAGCTTCTTCCTTAAGATTTGATCGAAACTATCAATGTTTAACTCTGTAAATATTGAAATTTTTGTGATGAACTCCAAGTCTAGTAAACGAAAGTATTATTCCTGCTAAAGTTGTCTCAGATATCTCAGATAAGATTAAACAGATAAATATAATGTACTTTCTTTAATCCGTTTACGTCTTAGAGGTTTAGGTTAGGTTAGGTTAAGTTGTTTCAGATGTCTCGGATAAGAGTAAACAGATAAACATGACGTATACATATCAAATTTTCGATTTTTAAATCTGCATTACTGAAAAATCAGGATAAATTGAAGCCCCTTATAAGATTTTAGCTTCTTCCTTAAGATTTGATCGAAACTATCAATGTTTAACTCTGTAAATATTGAAATTTTTGTGATGAACTCCAAGTCTAGTAAACGAAAGTATTATTCCTGCTAAAGTTGTCTCAGATATCTCAGATAAGATTAAACAGATAAATATAATGTACTTTCTTTAATCCGTTTACGTCTTAGAGGTTTAGGTTAGGTTAGGTTAAGTTGTTTCAGATGTCTCGGATAAGAGTAAACAGATAAACATGACGTATACATATCAAATTTTCGATTTTTAAATCTGCATTACTGAAAAATCAGGATAAATTGAAGCCCCTTATAAGATTTTAGCTTCTTCCTTAAGATTTGATCGAAACTATCAATGTTTAACTCTGTAAATATTGAAATTTTTGTGATGAACTCCAAGTCTAGTAAACGAAAGTATTATTCCTGCTAAAGTTGTCTCAGATATCTCAGATAAGATTAAACAGATAAATATAATGTACTTTCTTTAATCCGTTTACGTCTTAGAGGTTTAGGTTAGGTTAGGTTAAGTTGTTTCAGATGTCTCGGATAAGAGTAAACAGATAAACATGACGTATACATATCAAATTTTCGATTTTTAAATCTGCATTACTGAAAAATCAGGATAAATTGAAGCCCCTTATAAGATTTTAGCTTCTTCCTTAAGATTTGATCGAAACTATCAATGTTTAACTCTGTAAATATTGAAATTTTTGTGATGAACTCCAAGTCTAGTAAACGAAAGTATTATTCCTGCTAAAGTTGTCTCAGATATCTCAGATAAGATTAAACAGATAAATATAATGTACTTTCTTTAATCCGTTTACGTCTTAGAGGTTTAGGTTAGGTTAGGTTAAGTTGTTTCAGATGTCTCGGATAAGAGTAAACAGATAAACATGACGTATACATATCAAATTTTCGATTTTTAAATCTGCATTACTGAAAAATCAGGATAAATTGAAGCCCCTTATAAGATTTTAGCTTCTTCCTTAAGATTTGATCGAAACTATCAATGTTTAACTCTGTAAATATTGAAATTTTTGTGATGAACTCCAAGTCTAGTAAACGAAAGTATTATTCCTGCTAAAGTTGTCTCAGATATCTCAGATAAGATTAAACAGATAAATATAATGTACTTTCTTTAATCCGTTTACGTCTTAGAGGTTTAGGTTAGGTTAGGTTAAGTTGTTTCAGATGTCTCGGATAAGAGTAAACAGATAAACATGACGTATACATATCAAATTTTCGATTTTTAAATCTGCATTACTGAAAAATCAGGATAAATTGAAGCCCCTTATAAGATTTTAGCTTCTTCCTTAAGATTTGATCGAAACTATCAATGTTTAACTCTGTAAATATTGAAATTTTTGTGATGAACTCCAAGTCTAGTAAACGAAAGTATTATTCCTGCTAAAGTTGTCTCAGATATCTCAGATAAGATTAAACAGATAAATATAATGTACTTTCTTTAATCCGTTTACGTCTTAGAGGTTTAGGTTAGGTTAGGTTAAGTTGTCTCAGATGTCTCAGATAAGATTAAACAGACAAACATGATGTATATATATCAAATTTTCGATTTTTAAATCTCTATTACTGAAAAATCAGGATAATTATAACCCCTTATAAGATTTTAGCTTCTTCCTTGAGACTTGATCAAAGTTATCAAGATTTAACTGTATAAATATTACAATTTTTGTGTCAAACTCCAAGTCTGCTAAACGAAAGTAATGTTTCTGATAAACAGATAAAGATAATGTATACATATCAAATTTTCAATTTTTAAATATCCATTACTGAAAAATCTGGATAATTTAAAACCCCTTATAAGATTTTAGCTTCTTCCTTAAGATCTGATCAAAACTATCAAGGTTTAAGTCTGTAAATATTGTAATTTTTGTGCTAAACTCCAAATCTAATAAACGAATGTAATGTTCCTGATAAAAGCCAAGATTGCAAATATGAGAGATCAAAGGATTTCTCGCGTATTGCATGTATTAGTGTAAGATATTTTCAGACATAGTTTCATCGAATTAGGGTGCGATAGTCGAAGTGTTCCTATAGGGATCACTATCACAATCCTAAATACTGAGTAATTCGGGGTTCGATATTCATTTGTTTATTTGTTTATTATAGTTAAACTTTGTTCTTACCTCGGGTCACTGGACTAATTTAGGGAATTAGGCTTCAGCACTTGGGACTCGGCTGACAATGGGTCGCAGGAGGTCGGGGCCAGGCCAAGTCTGCGTGGTTAGATTTTTAGATAGCTCTAGAGTAAAGTCCCAAGTCAGTTCTTAATCAGCGAAAA